CGCCCGAGGCCGCCCGCTCTCCCGCCGGGCCACCGCCGCGGGGCCCAGGGCGCGTCTGCGGAGCTGCACGCGCGGCCGCCCTCCCCCTTACTCTGCACCTTGGCGGTCAGTCTGAGCGCTTCCTCAGACCCAGTAAGTGAAGCCCAGCCTACTTTGCTTGATTCTCTCAAAAACAAATGGCAACAAACGAACAATCTCAGTCTTTCTTGAAATTAGATCCTGGCAGGAAAGTACTGGACAACCCCCAACACACCGCACGCACGACCGAGGTGACAAAAAAAGACCAGGGGCGGCCACAACTTGTGTACCCCCGCCTTTCCTGCGCAGCCGGGCATGGGCGTCTGCTGAGGAGGGCTGGGTCTGCTGCTTAATGCGAGCGTTGGTGGATGATCTTGAGAAATGAATCACTTACAAAAGCCAGTTTTACTGGGAAGGTGCTTCTAGTCACCGTATAAATGGGTTTGAGACTATACCGCTAATATATATATAATTTAGTGCAGGGTCTACAGGGTCTCACTACGTAGATCGGACTCGTAGTGATTCTCCTGTGTTCAGCCACCCAAGCGCTGGATTACAGGCTCTCCTGCCACCACAGCCAGTCTCAGTCACTATCTCAGGCGCCCTGGGGGCGGGGCCAGCACAGCAAGCCCGGGATCGAACCTGGCAAGTGTTTTAATGCGCTGAGCTATTTGGCCAGCCCTCACCACGTTAGATATTGAAGCAAGCTCATCCTGCTTTCTTTCCCGTTTCTGGGGTTTCCACTCAGAAGTACAGCAGGCTGAGAGTAGGCAGGCGGTGGTGTTAGAGTGGTACCTTGTCTGGCGGTCCAGGGCCCTGAACCTCATGGGTCATGTGCTGCTGCTGACACATGACTCCGAAGGTGTCATTAGGGCCAGACGGCTTTCAGACCTACCTGCTGTGTGGCAGCGCCGTGCTAGGCCCTTGCACGTCCTTTCCCCACTTAGTCTTTCTGCAGCGTGGCAGGGCTCACTGTCCCCTCACCTCACAGATGAAGAAGCAGGCTCAGAGGACGACACGACTGTTGCAAGACATGCAGCATTTTGTACACACACTGAGCAGGCGCACAGGAACAGCAGAGCTGATTTCCAATCGCGCCTCTTTCAGGCTCAGGGTGCGTTGCGACTTCCTTTCTTCCCATCAGAAGTGGGCCTGGGGAGCTGGTGAGATGGCTCAGTGGTCTAAGGCACCTACTTAGAACAAACTAAGCTAAGCAAAGCACAGGGACCGCGGTTCAATCCCCAGCACCACATGCCAGCCAGCCCCGCCCCCTGGTGGGCTGAGTTGGCCACACACACAAAATAAATGAATAAATAAATAAAAAAAAAAAAATTAAAAAAAAAAAAAAAAAAAGAGAAGTGGGCCTGGGCCAGGACCCCAGCTCTGAGCTGCATCCCCAGCCCTTTGCTTTTTAAAAAATTTATTGGAGACAGGGTCTTGCTACATTAGCTGCGTGGGACTCCTCCCTTCGATCCTTCTGCCTCTGCTTGCCAGAGTGCTGGGACGACAGGACTGTGTCACCGCGTCAGGCTACAGTGTGACTTCCATGGGCCTGAGTACTTTGGCTACATGAGGACCCTGCCTCCGAACAACCAATAATTAAACTGTCGTTATAAAGTCAGACATTCAGGCTGGATTAAAAATGCAAACATTTTCTTTCATTTTACTTCTCGAACTAAGCTGAAAGCTTTCATGTCCATCAGTGGTGGGAGCCCTGGCACTGAGCCCCCGGCTCCGCTGCCGGTTTTAAGCTCTGCCTTCTTCCCGGTGTTCCTCGGGCAGGGGATGGTAAGAAAAGCCCCATGCAACACCTCAGCCCTCACCCTGCCTTTCCCTTCATCACATTCTCCAACACGGAGCCATTTTCATCCTTCAAGAAAAGAAAGTCAGCTGGGCGTGGTGGTGCACTTGGGAGGCAGAGGCGCAAGGACTGAGGCCAACCTGGCCTGCCTACGTGGAGAGACCTTGTCTCAAAAGAAAAAAAAATCAGTTCCCTCCTCTACTGTGTACCTTCTAACTCAAAACCGGGCTGTTGATAGACTGTGGCCATGCCAGGCTTCCTGCCGCCCCCTTCCCACTCGCCCTTGCCCCCAGCTGTACATCTGGTCCCCCATAACGAGATTAGGCTCTGTGACCTTTTAGTAACATGCCGCAGGCACGGGAGGGAGCTCGATGCCTAGCGCAGGTTCAGCCTGCGGGTTGCTGTGTCCCTGTTTGATTGCATTAGCTGGGGCCTGGCTGCAGGTGGTGCTGGGTGTGTGTGTGTGTGTGTGTGTGTGTGTGTGTGTGTGTGTGTGTGTGACAACCCAGTGGTCTATAGCTGCCGGAGATCTGCCACCCTATCCTGTGCCGCCACGGAGGAAGAAGAGTGAGAAGGGGCCACCTGTTTCCTCTGGGCGCAGACAGGGCCCCTGTGGTGGGCAGGGGCTCTTGCTGCAGCGCCCAGTGCTGCAGAACCCAGAGGCCAGGTCGGTCTGCAGGGTGGGTGCCGGGAGGAGAAAGCGTGCCCTTGCTGTCACTACCAGGAAGCAAGGCGCGGGGATTCAGGCCCTTGTGTACTGGGGAGCAAATCCACACCGGTGTCAAGGGGGGCGGTGGCAGCCTGAGTTCTGCCTGAGCCTCAGGGGTGTCTTTCCCTGTGTCTCAGACCTCCTTGGGCACAGGTGGGGGCACTGCATTTGGGGGAGTCCTGTACTAAGGGGCTCTTCCCAGTCAGCTCTGAAGCACACAACCTCATACTGTGTTTGTTGGTAAACCGATTGTCCATCCTTAGAACCTAGTCACTGTGAGGCCAGCTGTAGCAAAGCCACAGGCCTGCCCAGGTGGTCTTGTCATTTTCTTTCCCTGTCTTCTTTCAGGAAAGATATTGCTTAGAGCTTGCGACATCATCTTCAGATCAGACCCTCCCCCCCCAAAGGTCAGCTTCTTGCTGCTTCTGGTTGTCCTGGTTACTCTCCAGGGTCCTGGAGAGCAGCCCCTAACAGCTCCCCGCCTGCCAGTTCTCTTACCTCCCACTAGGCCTGCTGCCTTTCTCCTAGGAGGGAGGGTGAGTAGGGAACAGGAAGCTAGCTGGGGAGGAGACAAAACCTGTTCTGCAGCCTTGCATCACAGGGACTTTTTCCACAAGGGCTGCCTCAATCCCTGATTGGCGTCACTGTTTGGAGAGCGTGATAGTGCCACCCTAGTCGCTGGGTGTTAGCAAGTGCAGAGCCACACACCAGCAGGAGACAGGGCACCAGGCAGGAGACTCACAAGCAGGTCATTTCTTGAAGGAGGGCTCGTCAGGCTGGGCTTGAATTCTTACCGCACTTTCCTCTGTCCTCTGTGTCTGCGTGGCGATTTGCCCTCCAGCCCCTAGGACAGTGGTGGCGAACTTTCAGAGCTTTCAGTGATACAGACAGCTGCTGCAGCCCGAATGCCACGGGTTTGACCCCCTTGCCCTCAGGCAGAAACTGCCTTCTCTGAGGATGGTCTGCATCTGGCAGTGCAGGCATACGAGGTGCAGCTCTCTGCTGACAGCGACATGACTGCACCCTTCGTTGTCTTTGCGCCCTGCTTAGGGTATCGGGCCGGGGATTAGGTCAGGGCAGGTGGGAGCCTCGTGGCTCCCGGCTTTTGCTCCGGGCCTCCTGATGCACACGCGTGGGTGAGTTCTGTCTCCCCGATGTGGTGGGTGCAGGCAGTGCTTAGGTGCTGAGTCCAGAGCTGAGTTCTTACTGTGGGTGGGAAAGCCTCACACCCTGAGAAAAGAGCCGTCCTTGGGTTCCGTCTGTGTCTAGAGGAGATTGGCCAGGACAGGAAGCCCAGGCATGGGAGCAGTGTCTGCCTCTACCGCCCCCAGATCTGTCCCCACTGCCCTCGTGGTCTATGTCATAAAGAAGTTGCAGCTGATCAGACTGCCGCAGGGTGCTGTTCCTTCTGTTCTTGCTAATTTGGAGCTAATCACATTCTGTCTGTACCCTGGGTTTGAATCTAATAAAGGAGGCAGTGACTTGGTGAAGAGGACACAGGACAAGTGGCCAGAGGATTCATTTCTCCCTTTACTGTACTTTCTCCACCAGAGTTGGGCAAGGTGTGGGGTACCTGTGGCATTCCAGAGAAGGATACAGCATCCTCCCTGTCTCCAAGGGGTGAGTAGGATAGTTGAGAGGAGGAGGATCGTGGGATTAAGAAAGAACCAGAGAAGGGTAAGTAAGCACTGGAGGCGCTTGGGGACAGATGGAAAGTGGTGAGCAAGAAGCCCATTGCGGGCTTGGGGAGAGTCTGTAGGTCGTGCACAGCCAGTGAGGCAGGGAGCTGAGCTCGCTCCCCGGAGGTGCAGGCAGGCTGGGCAGCAGGTTGTGTTGCCAGGTGCCTGGGAGCTTCATCCACAGGGGATTGGGTGACACGAGGGTCAGGCAGAGTGCAGAGGAAGAGCCCAGCCATGATGTGACAGTGACGGTGATGGTGACCAAGAGGGAAGGGACGATGGAGCCCAGGCTCACAAGTGTGTGAAGCCCATCACCCCATAAGCCAGGCAGCTCCCTGTTGAGGAGGGAATGTTCGGTATGCCATGTGGCTCCTGGAGTGCCGGTGTAGGTGGCACTCACTGCTGTGAGGAGTGTGACGGTGCCCGTTACCTGAGCAGCAGGTTAGAAAATGGTGTGGCCCTTTCTAAAAAATGTTTATGTATTTCTGGAAGAAAGTGTATGAGGGCGGGAACCAAATGTTGATGGCATAACAGAGGCTGCAGGACCAGGGCCCTGTTCCTAGGTGCTGCTGGGATGGAGGCTGAGCCTTGAGCACACCAGCGAGGGCTGTGCCTCGGGAGCTACAGCTCACTTTTGATTTTGAGGCAGGATCTGATTAAGTTGCTCAAGCTGGCCTCAAACTTGTGATCCTCATGCTTTGGGCTCTTGAGTAGTTGGGGTTACAAGTGTCACGTCCCCCACCCGCACCCCTCCCTCTTTCAGTGGTGGAATTGCTGTCAGGTGTGGCAGAGAACGGGGAGCCAGCTCACACGCTGTGCCACCCTCCTGCTGGTACCCGCCGCTGCTGAGCGGCTGTCCAGGGCTGTGCTGAAGTGGTGTCCTGTTGTGGCAGGGCCAGGGCCAGCACTGAGGCAAAGGGGAAGAAGCGGGGCCTCGAAGGCTGCCAGCCTGGCTGCCCGTGGGCCGGGGGTGGGGACAGGAAAACCCACAGGCACAGGGTGGAGAGCTGGCCCTGAGGCTGTCCTGCTGTCATGAGCCGTGGGTGCACTGGGGCCAGCCCTTGGTCACCTTCCTGCTGGGATTGCTCCAGCTCAGTAGGGTCTGTGCACATGTGTGAATTGGACATGTAAGGCTGCGTTTCTGGTGGCTTCAATTTTAGAAATCTAACTTAAGAGAAATCTCACTTTGGAGAGGAACAGGACAGGAAGGGAAGGAGACTGCTGGGCACCAGGTCGCAGTTATTCGACAGCCCAGAGCAGCCGCTGCAGGGTCCCAGGCCTGGCTTTCCAGAGCGGTGCCCTGGGGAGGATTCTCCCCTCTACCCTGGAGCTTAGGAACCATGGGGGTGGTCTTCCTCTTCTCACCCCAGATGAACTTTTGGGAAGAAGTAACTAATCCTGAACCTGGAGGGATTTGCTTGCTTCTCTGTGCCTTATCTGTAACCCCCCACCTGAGAAAACCCAGGTCCCATGACTGCTTTGCCAGCAGAGCCTCCCCTGGGGATCACCCTACATGTGGAGCTCTGGTCAGGTCTGTCCTAACCATTCCTGGGACCTGTGGGATGCTGGTGGCACGGAGGGGGTGCAGAAACGGGAGGGTGGTGAATGCACTTTGGCAAAGGGGTGGGATATGGCTGGGGTACTGAGTGAGGCAGAGGCATCTTCTGGAGGTGTGGGGCGGGGCGCCTCTGAGCTCTTTGTCTTCCCCTGCAGCCTCAGCATGGAGAGTGGGACGGGCCTGGGCTCCACTCCCTCCACACTGCCATACTACGTGGCCTTCTCCCAGCTGGTGGGCCTGACTGTGGTGGCTGTGACCGGTGCGTGGCTGGGTCTGTACCGAGGTGGCATTGCCTGGGAGAGTGCCCTGCAGTTTAACGTGCACCCGCTATGCATGGTCATAGGTCTGATCTTCCTGCAGGGAGATGGTGAGTCCTGCAGGGCTGGCGTCCCAGGCCTTTCTCCTGTGCCTGAGCTTGTGCCTGTCCCTTGGGAGAGGCAGTCTGTGGGGTGCTGTCACCTCTGGTGTCTCTCCAGTTAGACAAATCCAGCATTCTAGAAAGGACAGAGGAGGAAGCTAGATTAGAGTCCCCAGGACCTGATCCTGTCCACCACAGCTGGGCAGAGCGAGTCTGGCTGCATCTCTGTGTGGCTGCCCGAGGAACTACTGCACTGAATGAGTGGATCAGGCTCCCTAGCGCGAGGTGGGCTGGGCTCCCCTGGGCCCAGCTGTTGCTGGGTAGGGCTGAGAGGCCTGCCTTTGCTGCCTCTTGTGGTGGCAGGGGCTGTGCCTCCCATCCTGGCCTGAGAGTGTGCGGGCATGCAGGTGGGTGGGGGCAAGGAGGGCCAGAAGCTACCCAAGGTGCCCACAGAGCCCAGTGGTGCTCTCCAGGCCCTGTGACGGGCAGACCTGATGGCCTTTGTCTCAGGCCTCCACGCTGCTCTTGCGTAGAGGTCGCTGCCCTTCACGCTCTCCTTCTGTCTTCACATAAGCGCTGCTGGTTTACCGCGTCTTCAGGAAAGAGGCCAGACGCACAACCAAAGTCCTGCATGGGCTGCTGCATGCCTTTGCGTTCATCATCTCCCTGGTCGGTGAGTGCTGGGTGCTGCCCTTCCCCGCTCCACCTGCTGCTTTAGGCTGGGGAGCTGCTGTTGCGCACACGTGGTCCCCCCAGCTCTGTCCCTCCTGCTCCAGTGCTCCTGTCCCGCAGAGATGCCTCAGGCAGGAACACAGGGCTGGCTGGCCTCGGCTGCGCTCAGCCCCCCATCCAGCCGCGTGCTCATGTGGCCCCGTGTCTGGCCAGGTGTGGTGGCTGTGTTCGATTACCACAGGAAGATGGGCTACGCCGACCTGTACAGCCTGCACAGCTGGTGCGGGATCCTCGTCTTTGTCCTGTACTTCGTGCAGGTGAGTTTCAGGTACCCTAGGTCCTGGCCTCTGAGCACGGGGAGGACAAAGGGCCGACGTTGTGTGCCAGAGGGACCCACTGCCAGGTGGCTGCAAAGGTGGTGGCTGGGTGCGGTGATGGCATGAGCTGGGGGTGTCAGGTGCCCAGGCCCGTGCCCCTCCTGGGGGCCTGACCCACAGTTGCACGCCCAGCCCCCAAGCACGCAGTCTGAGGAACTGCACGGAGGGTCCAGGTCTCAAGGACCGCGGCTTGCATTAGGGGCCAGGACCTGCCGTGCCTCCCCAGAAGCAGGGCTGCAGAGGCTGCCTGTTTTCCTCCCACTCAGCGCCGTCTGGCTCTGCCTGTCTGTGTCTTTCAGTGGCTGGTGGGGTTCAGCTTCTTCCTATTCCCTGGAGCTTCATTTTCTCTGCGGAGCCGCTACCGCCCTCAGCATATTTTCTTCGGTGCGGCCCTTTTTCTCCTCTCTGTGGGCACCGCTCTGCTGGGCCTGAAGGAGGCGCTGCTGTTTAAACTTGGGTGAGTCTTGGGCGGATTCGGTGGGCCCTGCCCTCTGCCTCCTGCACCTTAAGTTTTTGTGGGCCCCGAAGGGACTCTCTGACTGGGAGGGGATGCAGGGGGCTGGTGTTAGCAGCACTGTGGCCCAGGCGTGCATGGCGTTGGAGTAATCGGGCCCCTTGGTGGCCTGTCCTTGCCATTCCCCTCCATAGGACCAAGTACAGCACGTTTGAGCCGGAGGGGATCTTGGCCAACGTGCTGGGCCTGCTGCTTGTCTGCTTCGGGGGCGCCGTCCTCTACATCTTGGTGCGGGCTGACTGGAAGCGGCCTCCCCAGGCTGAAGAGCAGGCTCTCTCCCTGGACTTCAAGACGCTGACGGAAGGGGACAGTCCCAGCTCCCAGTGATGGCCTGTCCTTGTCCCGTGTGGGGCCAGGGGCTGGTGCCTGGGCTCTGTGGGTTCCCACAGTGTCTCTCACTCTCCCCTGCTGAGGAGGACCCAGGTGGCGGGGGGGGGGGGGGG